GCTTGTGTTAGCGCCATTATTGTTATGTAAAACTGAAATTTCCAGAAAACCTTCACACGCCTATAAATATAACCAACGCGATGTGGCAGGAGGGTGTCTATTATTAGTTCACTATAGTCAGTGTGCTATAAACTTTGGAAACTATAACTGTGATTATTTTAACGCTTACCAATCGGAAAACTTCAGATATTTGACCAGGAACCTTTACAAAGTTCGGACAATGCAAATCATTTAACTTCAGTGGATTCTCATTGGACATCAGCATTTTTACGAAAACATTACATAACGTCACGGTGGAAAACCCGGTGTGGGTGGCTGATAAGTAACGAAGGACAAAGCTAGCTAGCTTCTCGTCAAGTGAATTATACCTACGTCAACTCACTCATCGTGAACCCTCAATAAGATATCGAAGAAGTTCCAGACTGAAAGGAAGACTTTATATTGCTTGTAAGTTTGTGAAACTTTTGTTTATAAATCACTGTTTGTAATAACTGTTATTGTAAATTGTATTATTGTGTGCATATTAAAACGTATTTGTATAAAAGAAAACTGTGGGTATCAGTCTTGTTGGCAAATATCATAAACTGACTATATATCGGCTTTTACTTAACTACTAAATCCAAAGTACAAATTAACTATTAAATCCATAGTACAATTTAACTACTAAATTTAAATTTATCAGTTAACTCAATTTCAGGCCATTTGAAATTCTAATACTGATTGAAGAAGCTTTGCAAAATCATTTGGTGGAATCTAACCTATATAAAAGCCAGTGTGGGTGTCACATCACATCACGCTTGAATTCTTTTGATTTCTCAAAATAGGAGGAGTCATAAAAGTCATAATGCATTTATCCAGATAGAATAGTTCGATTACAGTTGTATTCTTTACATTGTACACCCATATTTGTTGTTGCTCAAATTCCATCCTTTGGTGGCATGATTGTTATATAGTGCATAGAGATTTCCTGGTCACAAGAAATTAAGCTATTTGAAACTATAATAGCCTCACATCCATGAAGTTATCTCCCAATGTGCATTCTTACTCGATGTCATTTAATCACTATCATGTTGTATAGAGAAGATTCCTATGGTTTAAAAGATTTCCTGTTTTCATTTTAGTGGAACGTTATGCTCACATGTACTCACATCAACCCACTTTCTAATTTAATTTATGGAGGCAATTTTCCATTTCTAATTGTAAAATCAGGTGGGACAATTGTAGCTATAGAATCAGTTTTAATCAACATACATAATCAACATAGTGCATAGAGATTTCCTGGTCACAGGAAATTAAGCTATTTGAAACTATAATAGCCTCACATCCATGAAGTTATCTCCCAATGTGCATTCTTACTCGATGTCATTTAATCACTATCATGTTGTATAGAGAAGATTCCTATGGTTTAAAAGATTTCCTGTTTTCATTTTAGTGGAACGTTATGCTCACATGTACTCACATCAACCCACTTTCTAATTTAATTTATGGAGGCAATTTTCCATTTCTAATTGTAAAATCAGGTGGGACAATTGTAGCTATAGAATCAGTTTTAATCAACATACCGCAAGGCTTCTCATCAATAAGCCTGTTGACTCGTGGATTGTTTACTTTAAGTAATATTCTTTTATTTATATTGGAAGCAGATAGATTATTTTAATTCTAAATATATCGTCATCTTGGTTTCATTAGATGTACATGTCAATGTTTTCTGCACCTATAGCAGTTCCTAGCAACTTGTTCTTTTAAGTTACAGTTAAAACATCTTGTGTGTGATTCACTTTCTCTGTCCTCAGTAAACATCTCTCTAATTAAAAGCTTTTTTAGAAGATCCTGACAAGATGCTCTTTTAATTTGCAATTCAAACACTTTTTATCGTACAATTTACATTTTCCAATCAGAGTTAACAGTTGTATAATGAACCGCGTGAGCTCTTCTAGACCTTCATCAGAGTTAATGTTGTTTCTATACAATTTGATTTTACATTTTTACAGTTCCTTGTTTATCTGCAAATTTAATTGATTCAAGTTTCTTTACCAATTGGACAGATTATTTTCATAATGTATATCTATTTTGCTCTATACTAACTTACATGTCTTCATTCACAATGCCATTTATGAACCGGCCATGTGTCATCGAATGTATGATTTCAAGAGATAACATAGGTAAGATAACTGGATATTCCTTTACACATCTTCTACAAGTTCAACTAATGCCTCGTCCTCCTTTCCTACTCCGCTCCTAAGCATTGAATTGGTAACTTCTTGTAATGTGTCACTCCATATCTGTTTGATAAGGCAACTACCAATCCTTAACAGCTGTTACAGCTAGAAGAATGCTTAAAATTAAGGCTAGTCGTTTTAAATAGGCAACAAAATGAATGGCTTGTATTTCATTATTCTATCTATTGACAATGTGATCAACACGGCAAGAAGAATTACTAGGTTTTAATGATTAAATTGTCCTGTAATTAAATCTTTTTTGGTTGTTTCCTATTCCGTGTTTCATGGTATAAGGATGATATGACCTCTTGTCTTAATTGGGTATAATATGCTCCTATGGTTTTCCCATAATATGTGGTTTCTCAACTGTGTAATGTTTTTAAATGGCCAGCTAAATTCTAGATTTTGATATTCATGTAGCTGGAGAAGCCCAGGAAAGGTCTGTAATTATAGATAACACAGCAATACTAATGAAATGTGTAAATAAGATGGGTTCTCCTAGTTCATATTTCATATTTAATGGTATTTCGAGTTAATACTGGGTAAGCTAACAATTATCTATAAGCAGAAGGAAAAGTTTTGTTGATGGTGGAACGTACTACATGTTTAGACAGATCAATGTTATGCGAAAACTTCAAACGTTAGAATTATATCAACATATATTAATTTTGATATGTCAATAAAATGTCAAACAAGCTCAAAAACTGATTTATTCTGTTTAGCTATTAAGATACATTATTAAAAATCGACTGTTTATTACACAAACAAAGTTATAAAGTATAAATTTCTATGTTCATTAGTTGTGAATCTATTCAGAATCACACAGTACACTGCACTGGCAGAGAATAGTGCACTTGAGTGCTGTCCTTATGCATTTACACTGCCTTCTACAACCTTTCTTGC